AACACAAGGTCATCTTCAACAAAATTCCACGCTACCCCGAGAACCTTGTGCTCTTCATTAGAGGATTCATTGGATGTTCCTAGCGTAATCTTCGAGTACGTTTCATCTTCATTTACGCAATCGTTTGGCGGTTCGTCCACTTGAGGGTTAGGCTCCAAATTAGTTCTAGGAAGAGGGTTCTCTTCACTTTTGATCTTCGTCAACAGTTCGGGCGAGTTGGTAACAAACTTCCGAAGGTTAAATCCACCTTCTGCCAATCTAAGCTTTGATTTCTTGTAAAGAGTGTAGGCAGATTTGTCATCATCCCCACCCGAGTTTAGATCATCTACATAAACAGCTCGCATAAAGGCTTCGACAAAGGCAGGATCTTGAGCGCGGTACTGTTCGATATGGTGACTGATAGTCGCATTCAGTAAGAACGGGCTGGATGATACTCCGAATACTACACGCGTAAATCTCAAGACAATAATCTTAGGTTGGTCACTCCAAACATCATCGAACCAAAGAAACCGTAGAACATTACGATCAGCTTCTGAAACTGCTATCATCAAAGAAGCCTTCTCTATATCACCCGCTAGTGCTACTTTGTGGCTTCGAAAACGAAGAATAATGTCCATGATGTTATGGGTCATTGCGGGCCCAGTATAGAGGCATTCATTCAAGGACGGACCAGATGTTTTGGCGGATGCATCATACACAATTCTTAGCTTGGTTGTCTCTTTATCTCGCCTGATCACAGCGTGATGAGGAATATAGTGAACTTTTCCGAGCTCTCCAATATCTTCTTTCTGAACAATCTCGACAACGCCCTTGGTAAGTTGATCCTTTATTACTGCATCATACTCCTTTAAGACTTCGGGATCACGTTTCAAGCGCTCGAGTAGACTCCACAGTCGTTTACGACTCATTTCATAGTTGTCAGGCAGTAAAGGATGGTGCTCTTTCCATGGCAACTCAACGTGATATCTTCCCGCCTTGAAACCTATGGTACTTGTGAATTCTTCAACAACCGACTTCTCTTCCTTTGATATACCGAGTGACTCCAAATCCCAGAATCGTCTCAGTTGTTGGTCATCTTCGTGGTGCATTGGTTGGGATGGTGGGGTTTCAAGCTGCAAAACATGAGTGGATGACATGTTTACAGATGCTTCCAATCTCTGTTGTGAATGGTTCTCGACTGGTCCGGACAGGACCCATCCAAGGTTGGTGTTGATAGCTGTCGGACCATTTGTTCCCTTTCGAATCTCTCCTGTCACTATGTCCCAATACTGATCACAACCGATAAGTATGTCCACTTCCGAGTCAAGTTTTCCCATTGAATCATCAGCTAATACTAGGTCGTGTAAGTGAGGGTAATTGTGGCGGGATTGTGAGACAAGTTGGTATTGCAGTGGTTCACATATGGTGGGTACAACAAAGGCTGACAAGGACAACTGTACCTTATCAGTGTGACTTTCTAGAATAAAATTGACTGAATCACAGGTGGTTAGATTTTCTTCTCCAGAACCAAAAGTTTTTATTGACATTGTTTCAGTTCGCTCAGTGGGTAGGCTTAGTAAATCTTGTGTCCGACTGGTGATGTAGGACCTCTGGCTTCCGCCATCTAGGATAACTCTCACGTTCCCACTCTTACCATTTCTACTCACAGGAAGGATTGTTGCCTTTGCAGTTTGAAGAAGTATTGGGGTCTTGGTACTTGTAAACAATGATTTTGTGCCACTATTCCCTGATTGATTTGATCTACTGGGTTTGTCGCTTGAGATTTTGCTCTCAGAGGTTTGTTCATGCTGTTGTTGCTTAAGCTCTGTATCGGATGGGGTCTTCTGGGCATGGTTATGACTGCTATTCTTGGTGCATATACTTATGTGGTGTTTACCATTGCATTTATGACATCTTGACTTAGAGTTGCAATCACGACTTAAATGATTTTTTCTCAAGCAGAGAAAACACCGTCCACTTCGCTTTATAATGTCAATTCGTGCTGTGATGTTAGAGACATTGGTGCAACTATTTGAGGTATGTGACTGCTGACAGTAGGTGCATGTCGGTGATGTACCCCCTGTCTGCAAGGTTGAAATTGAGGGTTGTGGTTTGGAAAATTTCTTTGTTTGGTAATGGGGCCAAGTCTCCCTGTTGGTATTTGCAGTTGCTCTTTCTCGGGCCTCTAACACAAGATCATCTTCAACAAAATTCCACGCTACCCCGAGAACCTTGTGCTCTTCATTAGAGGATTCATTGGATGTTCCTAGCGTAATCTTCGAGTACGTTTCATCTTCATTTACGCAATCGTTTGGCGGTTCGTCCACTTGAGGGTTAGGCTTCAAATTAGCTCTAGGAAGAGGGTTCTCTTCACTTTTGATCTTCGTCAACAGTTCGGGCGAGTTGGTAACAAACTTCCGAAGGTTAAATCCACCTTCTGCCAATCTAAGCTTTGATTTCTTGTAAAGAGTGTAGGCAGATTTGTCATCATCCCCACCCGAGTTTAGATCATCTACATAAACAGCTCGCATGAAGGCTTCGACAAAGGCAGGATCTTGAGCGCGGTACTGTTCGATATGGTGACTGATAGTCGCATTCAGTAAGAACGGGCTGGATGATACTCCGAATACTACACGCGTAAATCTCAAGACAATAATCTTAGGTTGGTCACTCCAAACATCATCGAACCAAAGAAACCGTAGATCATTACGATCAGCTTCTGAAACTGCTATCATCAAAAAAGCCTTCTCTATATCACCCGCTAGTGCTACTTTGTGGCTTCGAAAACGAAGAATAATGTCCATGATGTTATGGGTCATTGCAGGCCCAGTATAGAGGCATTCATTCAAGGACGGACCAGATGTTTTGGCGGATGCATCATACACAATTCTTAGCTTGGTTGTCTCTTTATCTCGCCTGATCACAGCGTGATGAGGAATATAGTGAACTTTTCCGAGCTCTCCAATATCTTCTTTCTCAACAATCTCGACAACGCCCTTGGTAAGTTGATCCTTTATTACTGCATCATACTCCTTTAAGACTTCGGGATCACGTTTCAAGCGCTCGAGTAGACTCCACAGTCGTTTACGACTCATTTCATAGTTGTCAGGCAGTAAAGGATGGTGCTCTTTCCATGGCAACTCAACGTGATATCTTCCCGCCTTGAAACCTATGGTACTTGTGAATTCTTCAACAACCGACTTCTCTTCCTTTGATATACCGAGTGACTCCAAATCCCAGAATCGTCTCAGTTGTTGGTCATCTTCGTGGTGCATTGGTTGGGATGGTGGGGTTTCAAGCTGCAAAACATGAGTGGATGACATGTTTACAGATGCTTCCAATCTCTGTTGTGAATGGTTCTCGACTGGTCCGGACAGGACCCATCCAAGGTTGGTGTTGATAGCTGTCGGACCATTTGTTCCCTTTCGAATCTCTCCTGTCACTATGTCCCAATACTGATCACAACCGATAAGTATGTCCACTTCCGAGTCAAGTTCTCCCATTGAATCATCAGCTAATACTAGGTCATGTAAGTGAGGGTAGTTGTGGCGGGATTGTGAGACAAGTTGGTATTGCAGTGGTTCACATATGGTAGGTACAACAAAGGCTGACAAGGACAACTGTACCTTATCAGTGTGACTTTCTAGAATAAAATTGACTGAATCACAGGTGGTTAGATTTTCTTCTCCAGAACCGAAAGTTTTTATTGACATTGTTTCAGTTCGCTCAGTGGGTAGGCTTAGTAAATCTTGTGTCCGACTGGTGATGTAGGACCTCTGGCTTCCGCCATCTAGGATAACTCTCACGTTCCCACTCTTACCATTTCTACTCACAGGAAGGATTGTTGCCTTTGCAGTTTGAAGAAGTATTGGGGTCTTGGTACTTGTAAACAATGATTTTGTGCCACTATTCCCTGATTGATTTGATCTACTGGGTTTGTCGCTTGAGGTTTTGCTCTCAGAGGTTTGTTCATGCTGTTGTTGCTTAAGCTCTGTATCGGATGGGGTCTTCTGGGCATGGTTATGACTGCTATTCTTGGTGCATATACTTATGTGGTGTTTACCATTGCATTTATGACATCTTGACTTAGAGTTGCAATCACGACTTAAATAATTTTTTCTCAAGCAGAGAAAACACCGTCCACTTCGCTTTATAATGTCAATTCGTGCTGTGATGTTAGAGACATTGGTGCAACTATTTGAGGTATGTGACTGCTGACAGTAGGTGCATGTCGGTGATGTACCCCCTGTCTGCAAGGTTGAAATTGAGGGTTGTGGTTTGGAAAATTTATTTGTTTGGTAATGGGGCCAAGTCTCCCTGTTGGTATTTGCAGTTGCTCTTTCTCGGGCCTCTAGCTCCTTCTCAATCAACTCAAGCAAGTGTCCCAATTCCCAAACATCTCCTTGTACTTCTCGACTCACTATTATGCACAATTCCTGAGGTAACTTATTGAGTAACATTGAGCATAATAGATTGCCATATGTTTCTGCCTGTACCCCAAGTGATTTGAAAGCTCTGATATGAGATTCTACAGTGTCATAAAGTGTTCTCAGTCCCTTTAAGTTATGTGGAGAAGTAACTGGCTCTAGATTTAACAGAATATCCATGTGTTTATTGATTGCAAGCTGTTTGTTACCAAACCGCTTCTTCAATATTTTGATGGCTTCTTCATAATTTAGAGGGGTTAAGGTTAATCCTGCAATTGCATCTGCTGCTGTTCCTTCCACAAGTGACGAGAGGTAATTAAATTTATCAATACTTGATAGTGTGGGATTGTTGTGAATTGACGACTCAAAAGTATCCCAGAATGTCGCCCAAGATGTGGGATCTCCCCGAAATGCCCTAAGATTTAACTTTGGCAACTTTACTGTGGGTATTTTGGTGCAATTATTCATGAAATTTGAAGGGTCAGCTTGTATACTGTTGTCACCATGGTTACTGGCAGTTTCTGAATTATTCCCTGTTATGGATGTAGTGGGTTGCGTAGGGGTAACTGGGGTTATGACATTGTTTTCAGTATTCAATTGTGTAGTACTTGATTTCTCATATTCATCTAAAGCCATTTGTACTTCAATAATAACAGACTCGATTTTCTCACGTGAAATATCCCCTTGCTCAATCTCTAACTCTATGTCCTCTACACTTACCAGCGCCAAAATAGCTTCATCTTGCTCTCGGAGTGATTTCAACTTCGCTTCGAGTGTTGACTTTTGTTGTTTTAACTTCGCAATATGCGGAGTTAACTGCGATTTCTCCGCCACACTCATAAGAGTTTCGCCTATAGACGCCATAATTCGTTTCGCTGAGGTTCTATGTCCGTTTCGACATCTTTTCTTTCGAGTCAACTCTTCTTTTTCGGCCATTGTTCAGGATTTATGTATCAGAATCTTTTCAATATGGCGGCTCAAATTCAGATGTATAAACTCACGTATTATTTTGTAATATCCGGCTCGGAAGGACCATGTAAAATATTTAGATTAAAACTCTCAAAGGACTCCTTTCTCCAAGGTTCAAGGCTCAACTCATGCGTGGTTCAGACTCATTAAAATATAAATAACACAAACTTTATTACAAAAACGCTGCCATATGAAAACTCTACGCTCGTCTCATTAGTATTCCATGTGTTCACAAAATAAACGTCATAGAATATTACGCAATCTCTGACAAAAGTAACTCAGATTTCCTGTAAGTCATGTACACAGTCCTTTGAATAACCGAAAACAAGATTTTTAGGGTTTTAGATCGATTAGAAACGGTTGTCGTCGTGAAATTTATCTGTAAAATCAGCGCATATTTCCCCCCCCAAAATGGCGATTTAGGGTGGTCGTGTTAAAACGGCATTTTCTCAAAGTTAAAAAAGAATTTGACCTTAAAAAATATATGGTGCATTTTCCGATATAATAAGGTATATCTGGGCAAAATTTGAGCAAAATCGATTTTTCAGTTGTGACCGCTTTATGTTTGATTTTTGTGGACATCCTCTCTTAATGTATACGGTTTTAAGTATACCATTTAATAATAAAATGAAGCACTTTACTGTCGACAGCTGCATCGTTAAAATAGTTCGTGGCTGATACGACGAATGGGTATACCACCCATCGTTTATCCTAACCATTGAATGATCTGTATCATGCAATGACCCTAACTGGCTTAATTACTCCTGAGAACTAAAAGACTTTTGCTTATTTATTTAGCTTATTTATATACGTCGATTGTAAACGTATACGCAACGCGTGCGAGGTTATAAAACTTATAAATTCAGAAACATAGAACAGTGACTGATTTTCAACTAATATAATACGAGCAGTCATGGAGAACAGTCGTGTCAATTTGAGCTCCGCAAATTCAAGCCAAATTCTGGCAAATTCATTGTTGGATTTTATGAGTGAAAGTGTTAACTAAGATACCTACAAATAGTGTGGAAAGTAAAGTACTTTCATCTCTTGTTTTTATTGACGAAAGCGGTTACTGCTGGACAAAATGACTTAAAGTTAATCGGCAAATGGTCATTGCCTGGCGGTGAAACGAAGTTATTTAAGAACACCGAGATTATCCTTAAATGGACTGGGCAAACTCGAAAGAAGCTGATAATTGAAAAAGACAGCGAAGTAAATCTCGTGGCGAACACGCTAAAACGTTTATGCAATGGTGATGTGTTTTGCTTAGATACAGCAACGGCGTGTAAAGAGTCGATTGATGACAAAGCTACTAAGCAATCGGTAGCGGCTGACTCTGAATTTTCAACTATATGGGCGGCAATAAATGGGATTCAAGACGTGGTGACGGCCAAATTGGAAGAAGTAACATTAGCCCACGACATCAAACTTATAAGAATAGAAGCTGAGGTATGTAAAGTACGATCTAATTACGAAAGGAAAATTGAAAATTTGAATAATAAATGTCATGAATTATTGCTTAAACTTGAATGTAAGAAGGCGCTCGAAGATAAAGTAAATAAACTTGAAGTTTTGGTTGGCAATCTTAAAGCCGATATACAGGATCTACGAAATGAGAATGGTTTGTTCAAATTGAAGCCACGGTTGTTTAAAAACTCCACGCCTAAAGTACAACAAAAAAACACCGGGAACAATGACCTAGACTTAATTGGTACAATTAACATTCCTGATGAACCGATAACTATTGTTGATAAACAACCCCAGGATTTAAATAAAAATTTAGAGTTAAACACCTCTCTCTCAGTTAGCAATAAGACTTCTCGGGCCGACAAAGGATCGGTGTACAATCCTCAGATGAATTCAGTTATTGAATGTATTGAGGCAAGAAATCAACCTAGAAGCAATCCACCGAGAGGGTCACATACGAGCAATGTTTCCAAACGTAATTCCGCTATTCCCAGCCATCCTTTGCCCAAGCACTTGGTACCTTGCCCATTTCTAAGACGGAGAGGCTTTTGCCTAAAGGTCCCTTGGGTGACTTCCAGCATAAAGATTCTCAATCGTCTAATAATCCAACCAATAATTCGTCGAATAACCCGTTCTATTGTTCGTCCAATAATCGACCAACAGTGTCCAATAACCTACAACGATACCCTCATAACTTGGGCTATACATCTTATCACAACCTATTACTAATCATTTTCCTTTTCCTGTGAATCCAAGCCATTTCCCCCCGTTTCAACCTCCACAGTATCATCCAATGCTTCGACCATATGTATACCCACCACCTCTGTTGACATCAATATAACCCCTTTACGGCCCCCTGTCGTGTCCCCCTTAGCACCACCTACAATAACGTTTACTAGCATGCCTTTGAGTGTTCTAAATCGTCCTCGAAAAGTGAAAAGCAACATTTCAAATCAAAATCATTGTGTAAATAGAAATAATCTGATACACATTCAAACCTGTCCAAGAAATCAGGATAATAAACCGAGCGATAATAAAAGCATAAACGTTCCAGTTTTCCCCTTATCTAATGTCATGTCACTGGCACCTAAGATAGACGAGGTTCGCATTGTCGCCAATAGTGTGAACCCTGATTTTATTTCTGTGACGGAAACATGGTTACAAAATCATGTTCATTCAAATATTGTTGAGTTGGGCGGTTATAATAGTTGTCCGGAAAGACGGACAAGCGGCCACACATGGAGGCATCTGCCTATACATCAGAGACACTATCCAGTTCTTTGTGCTGGAAACTCTATCAAACTCAATTTTTGAAGTTTTGTGGGTTAGGATCTGTCCGACTAGATTACCGAGGGGCGTAAATTCAATCATAGTGGGAACCGTTTGTCACCCACCCAACGCGAACAACTCCGAAATGTTGGATTATTTAATAGAAACTCTATCAATCATCGAGGCGAACTATTTTGGTTGCGGCATTATTATTCTGGGTGATTTCAATCAACTAAATGTTAGAAGACTAAATACCAATTTTAATCTAAAACAAATTGTCAATTTTCCCACCCGTGGTCGAAATACTCTCGATTTGGTGCTGACCAACTGAGACAAGTTCTATGAAAAACCAATTAAGATGTCCCCCTTTGGCCTCTCTGACCATGTTACCATTGTAGTGAAACCTAAAAAACGAGGACAGGACAAGGTTGTTAAATCAATCGTAAAGTCGAGGGATATGCGACCAAGTAAACGTTATGCAATGAGGTCCTATCTGGAACAAACAAATGTTTCAAATTTAATTAATTCGGTGCAATCATGTGATGATAAAGTCTCGATGCTGGAAACAATTGTTAAGATTGGCCTCGATTTCATTATGCCCTTGCAAACTAGGACTGTTATATCAAATGAGCCAGTGTGGATCACTTCCTCTTTGAAAGACCTTATAGGAAAACGACAAAAAGCTTTGAACAGTGGAAATTTAGAAGAATTCAAACGGCTCCGTAATTGCGTGAATCGGGAGCGGAAAAATGTCGTTCTAAATACTACGAAGCGAAGGTCAAACATCTAAAAAGTTGCAAATCTTCCGACTGGTGGAGAGAAGTCAAGAAATTGAGTGGAATGAACTCGGCTTTCAACTCTAAAAATGAGGTGTATAAGTCGTTTGAAAATCTAAATGAGACAGCTACTAGTACCAAACATCTTGTCAACATTATCAATGGAATCTTTCTTTCTCCTATGAATAACTTCTCCCCTTTAGCCAGTGACTTTTTCGCTTGTACCAATTTTGGCAGCGATGAACCTGGTTTTACGGTTACGGAGCAGGAGGTCTTTATGAAATTGTCAAAAATGAATCCAGCCAAGGCCAGTGGTCCAGATGGGATACCCAGCTGGGTTCTAAAGGAAAATGCTGATCTACTGGCCGATCCTATAAAAGAGATTTTGAATCTTTCGTATAGAAATGGCTGTCTTCCGCAGTCGTGGAAAGAAGCGGATATTGTCCCTTTTCCAAAGCAGAAACCCGTAAAAGACGTGAATAAGCACCTACGTCCCATTTCATTAACATCTGTTGTATCAAAGGTGGCGGAGGATTTCGTTGTCGAAAATTTTGTTAAACCTGCTGTCCTTAGTAAGATTGACATAAATCAATTTGGAACGATTCCCAAATCATCAACGACTCATGCGCTAATAAGCATGATACATAAGTGGAAAAAACAAACGGACGGAAACGGTTCTATGGTGCGGGTTGTCCTTTTTGATTTCAAAAAAGCCTTTGACTTAATCATGGTATTCTCGTAGACAAGCTCACTACCTTTGCAATACCAAAGTGGGTGGATCGTTAATTTTCTCAAAGACCGTAAACAGCGCGTCAAGTTAAGCCAAGATTGTCACTCCGAATGGGGTTTGGTTCCGGCAGGCGTCCCTCAAGGGACTAAATTCGGTCCTTGGCTTTTTGCTATAATGATAAATGACCTAAAAGTAGCGGATATAGATTTATGGAAGCATGTGGACGATACTACAATCTCCGAGATTGTCCTTAAACATGAAACCAGCAGCATCCAATCGCAGGTAGACGAGTTTATAAGGAAATCAACTGCAAATAAATTTCAGTTAAACGAAGAGAAATGCAAAGAGCTTCAAATTACCTTTGCAAGACCCGGGCGTACGTTTACACCCGTGTATGTTAATAATAAACCAATCGAAGTTGTCCCTTCTGCAAAGATATTGGGCATGCGAATTACGAACGACCTTAAATGGAATACCCACATCTCAGAGATTGTAAAGAAAGTTTCAACAAGACTCTTCTTTCTTTGTCAACTAAAAAGAACAAAAATCTGTAGAAAGGATTTACTAACATTTTACCTGACCTGTGTGCGTCCTGTGATGGAATATGCTTGTCCCGTTTTCCACGACTCCTTACCCAATTACCTATGCGAAGATCTGGAGAAGTTACAGAAGCGAGCCCTTCATATAATCTTCCCAACGTTACCTTATGCAGAAGCTTTGGTAGAAGCGGGAGTTGACTCATTATTTAATAGAAGACAAATCCTAACTACTAAACTATTTAATGATATTGCAAATGACGAAAGTCATAAGCTTTACCAATTACTACCAAGTAAGAACTTTTCAAATTATAATATAAGGAAAGAGAACATTTTTAACGTTTCTATTAGTAGGACGAATAGATTTAAAATAGTTTTATACAACATAATTCTACAATGTATGTTAGATAAAGTAAATATTTATTGTAAAGTTAGAAGCGTAATTCAACCCGTGGGTTGTAATGTTTTTAATTAATTAATTAATTAATTAAACTATCTATCTATCTATCTATCTATCTATCTATATAAATGAAACTAATGATTGATTTAATTTTCCAAACTGACCTTCTTGTTTCCTGTACAGGATGATTCTGAGTCCAAATATTACAGGACGTTCTTCTACTACAGGCAGAACAAATGCGACGCCACCGAGGTAAGGTAAAAGTTGTTTATTGTTGCAATCAAACGTCTTGAGCTTAATGGACGATGAATGGGAATAAGGTGGAGATACTGTAGGTACTATTCTAAATCCACCATCCTATAGAGGAAACAATAACAAGCCAGAGATTAATCTACAAATTGAACAGAGTTTTCTCCAAACTGGATAAAAGAATACATCATGTTTTCAACATAGCGTTCGTCTATTGGTAAAAGATCTTTATAATATAGCATTCTGAACGCTGATTGGCTAAGAGCCGTGTTGATATAACTCAATGTCAACACGAAAACGTCGGAAAATTTCTCTCTTTATATTTCTTTGTGCTATATTATAAAACAAATATAAAACATTTTTTCCGTATTGATATATAGTTATATCAACACTCGTGGAAATTGGGAAAACGAGAAATTGTGTGAAAACACGACGCCCTTCGGGATATAACTGTATATCAACACGGAAAATGTTTTATATTTGTTAAATATATATTAGAAATCTGAAAATCTAACCAAAGTGTAATATTACAAAATTACAATATTCCAAATATTCCAGACTTTACTGATTTAAAATTGAAGTATAATTGACGTAATTTTGCGAATACCGCAGACCGCTAGTGATCACATAACCGCAGTTTTCCTAGCCCGCGTGCAACCTCGTTCCCAGGCTCTTTGCTCTTGGGAAGCAAAGACCCTGGCTGGGGCTGGTCACGTGTCACACGGAAATTTGATCGCTCAAGGGGAGTAGGCAAAGTATCAAATTACATGCTTCCACTTTCGTACTTTACACTTCTATTGCAAGCAGTGAGTGTTTTGTACCGATCAACTTTGAGAATCATATATACTTGCCAAATTTGATTTGTATTTGCTTTTAAATTATAACAATATGCTAAACAGATTTTTATAGCAATAAAAGCGTATGATCGTATACTTGAAATAGTTCTTATGTTCTCGGGCTTGGGCGCACTTTTATTTCACATGTTTCTGCTCGGCATCTCGTTCACCTATTTTTAAAATTTTATGATATGTCACTAAATTGTTGTTTTTTGGAAACGGTATAAACTTTACATAGATTTTATACTTGTTAATTTCAATTGTTTCAATACAGGTCTCAAGAGCGACTGCATGTTTAGGACGTTCGGACGGCAAACGTTGCACATTTGGACACCAGCCAAATAGACATTGAATGTCCATTCTATTGATTCTAAAATTATTTAATAACTTTTATATGCTATTGATTCTAAAATTTATTAACCTGTTTATATGCTATTGATTTTATTTAATTAAAAGTATTGATAATTTATAGTAAACACTATAGGTACTGCAGAAGGTACAATACTTGGTAAAGCACACTACAGAATTATAAGAATTACTGTACGCCTTTTTTGTTTGCACGAAGTACAATATTTATACACAGTATCTACAGATCTTCTATATAATTCTATACTATAGCGACTTACCCCCGCCTTTTATGCATAGTGCACAGTGAATGCAAAGGAATGATAGCAGATAAGGTGTAGGGAAGTATCTTTCTATTATTTGTTGAATAAAGTGTCTCCAGATTTTGTCAGGGATATATACAGGTACATAATTCATAAACTCCATATACGCACACGGCACAACAAAGTCTCGCACAGACATATGATAGCATTACTTGATGAGTTTGTATATTAGCATTTTAAAATTTCTATTGATTGGCTGTTTGTCTCCAGTAAGTAGTGATGGGCGATACCGACAGTATCGGTTTCGATACGATACCGATTACTTTTTGGTTAAAGTATCGAGGTATCGATTACCCAAACGATTACTTCCTCCAATTTTCAAAATAATAAACGTAAGTCACTTAATAAAGAGCCGACTGTTAAAGAAGTAGCCTTCTACTGTAACAGTAACGATATATTTTCAGAAAGTTACATATTTTTAACAGTAACGATTTGATCCGCCATTTTAATCCACAAAAAAACAAGAACTACTTTATTTCCCGCCTTTTTCATAATTTATTCTGTCGATGAGGATAGAATGTCAAATAAAGTATAAAGGAAGTTTGATTAAATTGATAAATGCAGCAAAATACAAAAAAGTACATAAATTTTATTAGAAATAACCATGAAAACGATGACACAACTGCAGGATTATAATGAATGTCTAATTTTAAAAGTAATCGAAACACTTTTTCGATACCGTGCAGTATCGACTACTTCCTGTTTGGGTCTGGTATCGGGTGATATCGATACCAAGTAGTCGGTAATCGCCCATCACTACCAGTAAGGCATAGTTGGATGCTACATTTTAATTCTAAAAAGACAATAATTATATTGATGTCTCACAGCAGGGCAGTATGCGTTTATTTAAAAATACAAGCTGGATCTCATGTAACTCTACGAACTAAAATTTAGGATATTCTGGATAGATCCAGCTACAAAACCAATGGCAATGAAAGCTCTTTATATAATATTTATAATGTGCGGGTGTATATTACTGTAATAAATATGAAATAATTGTTATATACGCATATTATAACAATACTATAAATAAATATAAATATTCAAGTTGTACCGCACGCACGGACGAGTCTTTGACTTTGCCTATACATCGGATGATACACGTTTAATAACAGAAAGCTATACTTGAACATAATATATTCTTGATTATGGAGTCTCAGCGATGGCCAAAACGGCATATATCACAGTTTTAACGGTCTCTAACAGTCGGGAGAGTATGTTTAGAATTTACACACAGTTGGCAAGATGACAGGCCGACAGCTAGGATCTCGTTATTTTATAGCAATTCCACATCTCTATACGTAAGGTAATCCGTTGGGTTTGCGTATCGGTCACAACAGTCACAACGTAACCACATCGTTTGCTCGATCGATCTAGATTTTTACACTTATAGATTGTGTTTTACTGTTTTTATAGCGAAGCGTGCTTTCCTTGCCAAAAGCCTTGTGTCCACTGAAATCTGATCCAACTTCTCGCTTGACTAATGTAACCCAACACTCAATAATACAAAGGACGAAGTCGTGTCATATTAAATACGAAATCTTTCAGAATTTCTTGTTGCAAATTTAAATTTTATTATCCCAAACTATAATATACACAACTACACAAGTTGTCATTTTCCAAACGCGCTCCCCTGCCACCCTACCCTAATAACAATTTTATTTTAGCACGCAGCACGTGACCAGCCCCAGCCAGGGTCTTTGCTTCCCAAGAGCAAAGAGCCTGGGAACGAGGTTGGCCCGCGTGCAGGCCCAAGGGAACTGATAGTGGGCCTGCAAGCAAGGCCCGGTATTTTGTAAAACTCCCCTTTTCATAACACGCCCCATTCGCGCGTCAATTGTCAAAAAAGAACCGATGAGAGCAACCAAATATTAACAAACAAACTCGCATTAAAATGTTGCGGGGTTTTCTCCGCTTATTCAGAACATAAACAATGTGTAAATGGCTGCGTTTTAACTCCAAAAAAGCAAGCAACGCAGTCAGTAATTGCCAAATTTGCAAGTGCTCATTTTCAACTAAAGTCGGAACAGGCAAATTAGGATCCGACAAATTTCAACAGAAAACCAGTCTGAAACTTCAAATCGTGAGGGAAGTCGTGCGACCAGTGCCGACCACATTAGCATTTATAATGTGTGCTTCGCTGTCGCCATTATTATAAATAAATTGTCTCACTTATCAGATCGTGTGTGCAATTCTTGTTGGCGGCGGAAAGTACGAAATTTATTTCAGTTATTTCATTTGGTAAAGAACTCTACAAAGAAAGAAGAGAGCGTTCAGAGTCCAGATCGTTTCGTTTCAAACGGCAATTTAATACCGTCTTCTGTTTCGCTCTCTCAGCGAAGCCTTGTAAATTGCAAAGTTTTTCGAATAGGCTTACATGCAACTGCATCTCAACATCAACCAAAAGATAATTTTCTTGAGGAACATATAACGTATCAAGTCTGTTTGAAATTAATGAAACTCAAGTGAAGGTTACTATACAGGGTGTATCAAAAAAAACTGAACAGATTTGAAATTGCTCTCAATTTCGCAAAATACCTATTTGTATCTGTTTTTTATGTATATAGCTTCTTTGGGTACTTATAATGTAAAATAATGAAAAAAAATTCCCGAACTCAAATTTTGTGAACCAGGGGGGGGGGTGTCTTTTCCAACAAACTAAAAATGGCTCGCGCACAAAATTTAAAAGCTGTAATAATACTTTGAGTTGATATATTGAAAATTTGTCGGGTTTTTAATTACTGTAAAAAATTTCAGACAATTTGGTTTAGTTTAAGCCCTTTAACTATTCATTTTGTTCTAAAAAGTCTGCCTTTACCTAATTTGCATATTGCTGACATATGCAAATTAGGCAAATGCATTAATTAAGCATGCAAATAGCTGATTTTTCGGGAAAATTGTAACTTTGCGTGAATAGTTAAGGAGCTTAAACTAAATCAAATTGTCTGAAATTTTGTACAGTAATTAAAATCCCGACAAATTTTCCATCTGTTAACTTAAAATATGATTGCAGCTTTTAAATTTTGTGCGCGAGCCATTTTTAGTTTGTTGGAAAAGACACACCCCCCTGGTTCACAAAATTTGAGTTCGAAAATTTTTTTTCATTATTTTACATTATAAGTACCCAAAGAAGCTATATATATAAAAAACCGGATACAAATAGGTGTTTTACGAAATTGAGAGCAATTTCAAATCTGTTCAGTTTTTTTTTGTGGCTAGCCCGTTCGCGGGCTAGCCACAATGTAACGCTAAAAACTGTAAGAGTTGTGAAGTTGTGACGGAACTTGTCGACTGCGTTCGGAAACTGTCGTTGATGGCATGAGGCAATGATATTAAAATGCCAGTTGTCACAGAAAAGGTATCTTACAACTATTAAACGACTTTAATACTGGAAGATGCCTCACTCAGCAAAATTACAGTTGACAACGCTGGTAGAAATACTCGAATGAATTTTTCACAGGAAACGGTAAGTTAACTTTTGTTATTTCAGTCGATATTTATGTTTACAATTTGTGAATCTGTCATTTCATATTATATTATTAAAACATTGTCATTGCTATCGTGTTGCTATTCATGTCTGCTCTGGACTCTGCTTCTGGTCAAGGAGATTTAGATCATGCTTCATATAAAGCTTTATATAGTGAGTTTATATAATCCTGTTTATAATCAAACGTTCTTGCACAGATCTTGAATTTTAATATACCGTTATGTGGGTAATAGTTGGCATAGCCCATTGTTGGCATATTTTACAACAGTACTACAACTGCCCTGTCCACTTGCAGGTATAAAACTTTAACTACACTTAACACAGAAAACAGGCTGGACTATTTTACAGTATATTAATATAGTCTAGTAGTTACTAGCGTGGAAGCTCAGTCTGTTTACATACAGTTGAAGGATCTTCTAGCTAGATGGAAGTAATTGAGTGAAAATGTATTATTTTACATTTATTAGATCTATTAAACTAGGAGATGCAACTGTAGGTGCAGTTTATTTTTGGATATCTAGTCCAGATGTAAATAATATGTATTATTATATCTGATCTAAGATCAGCAGGGGCGTAGAGACAGGGGAGTGTGTGTGTGTGTGGGGGGGAGGGGGGCAAACTCCACAACTGTGAAACTCAGGTAAAGCTCAAATACTTGTAAATTTTTACATTCTCAGGTAAACTTTGTGTAAAAGTCGTTATTTTTGTAAAATGATGACCATTTGACATCCGACACCCCCCCAAACTTCAGATGCTTTGCTACGTCCCTGAAAATTAGTGCAATCACAATAAAACACTGACCGTTGCAGTTGCGAGAGTATATATGAAGAAAACTCACAGTCATAATGTGATGAGGTCATATCGACAAGTTTCAACATTTCTTTTCAGCACTTAATAACAGCAGTGTCAATTGAGTAGCATGTTCATACTTTTATTGCCACAGTTAAATGTGTTGTTTAACCTAATGAGTTGCAATGCGCCCCACGCCCCCAATGCACCCTACTTATTTCTTTTACTTGTCTAACGCCAGACGATTTTACCCGTCAATGGGGAAGCTCTGCCGCTTAATGGGTTAAATTTATACCTGCATCATTTATAATGTGTCAGTCTTGTGAGCTGCCAGTAAATATTTGGTTCTTAATTTTAAACAATTTGCAGATAAAAGCACAATTCAAAATCATAGTGATGCATGGCATCTACAGTACTTCAAACAACTAAGTAAACACATATTCTGGTCAATTTGCTGATAATATGGTGACTGGTGATAATATTGGATAATATAGGAAGATCAGAATATTTGCACAAGTGTCAGGGCAATACAAGTTAGTGGTGATGACATAATTGATTTCATGAGTTCATTATAAATTCTGATGCTGTTAGATCTTACAATAAATAAAAATGTTTAGAAATCTAGTATTAAGTATATTATGTTGATGAAGAACTTTGAATTTAAAGGTTTTATGAAATCTACGATGCTATAATATATATGTAACAAGAATATATCATGTAACAAGAATATAATCTGTACAACAGAATATATCTGTAACAAGAAACCGATGTAATGAAATCTTAGTGAATTACATATTAGTGCAATTTTGAAAAACAATAAAATTGACATTATTAGTTGCTGCATGTATATACTTATTATTGAAGCAAAACCGAATGTTGCTTTTAAATCAAGTGATTGTAGCCATTTGTTGGCATTGTAAGAAAGATACTGCATCTGTTTTATTTTGACCATTCTTCTATTGTAATGATTAATTTTGTATCAAAATGAATGTTTGTGATGAATGTTAATGACAATGTGAACTCCGGCTGTATTCGACCAGGCTGAATAGGCTAGCCACATGTACGCAGTGCGTACCTATTTTTATACACCCTGTAGTTTACCCCAGTCGTAATGTTGCTATTCCAACACCTCACGGCAAGCAATCCCCATTGGCATAACGGCAAAAACATTTCTTCCTTCAAGTAAACAGTAAACAGTCTGTTCTTGTTCCATTTGTAATCGAAAAAAGTGATCAATTTTCGAATTTTAAGCTTATCGAGAGCCTTTGTGTTAAATCACTGACCTAATTATAGAATCTAACAGCAAACAGCCAATCAGAATGCCGCGTTCGTGGACGAACGCAGAAAGTGCAAAATACCGGGCCTTGCTTGCAGGCCCACTATCAGTTCCCTTGGGCCTGCACGCGGGCTACAGTTTTCCGCACTGACGAGCTATACATATTACATTATTATACAGCTCAGTGGTTTCCACCTGTTGTGTTTATCATGTAAACTGCTTTAACACAATGGCCTCTACATCAAAACGTATCGGCCCCATGAAATCTGCCGATGCCGGTTTTGGATATTATTGATAAAATTGAAGACGACAGTGAACCTATATCTGGCAGTGAAGAATCTGAAATTGATCGACAATTTGATATTTCTGACGATGAATCGAGGTATTAAGTTTTGGTCACAGTCGGCGAAGCGTGTTGTCAGTTAAGAATGAGTGGCTTGTGTTGGTTTTAAAAGCTAGTATTTTTAAAAAAAAGGTCGTCAAGTTTAGATTAGTGTCAGATTTAAGATTAGATTAGGGTTAAAGTTTAGAGTCGGGATTAGTTTAGGGGATTAGTTTAGGGGATTAGTTTAGGAGATTAGTTTAGGGGATTAGTTTAGGGGATTAGTTTAGGGTTAGAGGTTAGAGTCAGGACTAGTTTAGGATTCAGTTAGTTTCGTTAGGTACCGACACCTCTTTTTACCAAATATATGCGTTAATTTCATTTTAAATTCAATACGCGTATATATAAGCGTGTAATTACGGGCTTATCGCATGCTTATAAAACCTGCATTCCCCTCCTTTAGTCACTATAGGAACGCTTCCTAGTTCGGTGTTATGGCTGTTCCCCAATCCTTGTGTGTTGTACGTTGTTGAGACGTCGTTCCCGCTAGTCTCGTCCGTCTATTATACGCGTTTCGTTCGGGCCGTCTCGTTTTTACGTCGGTTGGGCATCGACTCGCCCCTGTCGGTCTCATCGCGATTGATGAACTATCGTTCGGGACCGTACGTTGCTTATTCGTTCCTCTGGTCCTCCCCAGAAGCCCCTTCTCGTTGCGAGCCGTTGGTTTCCTACGGTGTCAGTCGTCCACCGTTACATTTTTCCATGTCCGGATCCCCTCGTATATTAAGTTATTATCATAGTTTGCTTGTTTATCTCGTTTCGGAGTAGATTCGGCTCATTTCCACTTCTCTAGAAGTGTGAATGTAGTACTATATATAGTGGAGAGGTATTGTTCTCCGCACTCGAGAACAGCAATAATATATATAGTAACTCGGTTAGGTAATTCGTCAATACTCGGGCCAAGTACATGCGTGGCATCCAAAACTTTGGCTAATCGTGACGGAGCGGAATTCGGTTAACAATTATTCAATATTTCAATCCTAGTATTATTAATATTATATACTTACAATAAACAGCTGAGCAAGTAACGTGTCCTGTTTTATATCACACCTCCAAAATTCATTACTATCGTTATCCATTATTCCAAAATCAAATTGTACTATAAGGTTTGACTGGCCATTTAATTCAAATCTTTTTTCATGAAAGCCATCTGAATGATCATAGAACGTTTTCTTTGAGAGGTGCCGGCTGCTGTTAAGAATATGAATTTGTGCATTTCCAGGTCTGTAAGTAGTTGTAGTTGGATAATGTTCTAAACAATCAGTGAAATAGTATACTATCAGTGCATGCTGGGTAAACTGAATTACATTTATTCACATCAACAGGAGGAGGGGCGTCCCTCTAATGTTAAGGGAGCCAGAATAAGTTTCGCCTCTTTCGCACAGCTATAGTCGTTACATTTTAATGCAAATATGTAATATTTTTCAGTAAAACTGTTGGAGGATTTTAAAACTATTAGTGAAATATCGAGTATTAACCTTTAGTTGACGAGCTGTCTGATATTTTGCAAATGGTTAAAAATGCCACTTTTTTGGAGGGTTTAAATTTCATCATTTTCTTGGCGGGCATGCCCCCAGACCACAAATGCGGTTGGCCGGCTGGGCAACAAAAGGTTTTTTAAAACCTAAAAGTGCACTTAAAAGTGCTAACTGTTTATTCGCGGCCATGCAATAGCACAGGAATCCCATCCTGGGTCAGCGGTGCCTAAATTACTTTGAATTTGCACTCGAGTGAAAGAAAAGTGGAAGTAATTAACAATAAAACGTCTTGAGTAAGAGTAAAAAGTACTGGAGGCAAAACGTACTTTAAAGGGGCAGTATGCCGGTCAAAATTTTTATTATCTTAAACCAAAGCTTAAACGAAAATGCTCTTAAAACTGTATAATAACTTGTTTTGAAGATTTTTGTTCTCATGCTTAGTTCTTGAGATATTTCATTTGTTTGTAACCATGTGACGTCATCTACTCAATTACGTATATAATGAGATATCAGTAGTTGTTGTGTATCTTTACTATTTTTGATCGATTTGTTAAAAAACACAGTATGCTTAATGATGCAGGTAAATTAAAAAACGCGCCGCATCTTTCGAAATATTTTGATAAAAATAGCAAAGATACACAACAATTACTGAGATCTCATTATATATGTAATTGAGTAGATGACGTCACATGGTTACAAACAAAATGAAATATCCCAAGAACTAAGCATGGGAACCAAAATCTTCAAAACAAGTTATTATACAGTTTTACGAGCACTTTCGTTTAAGAAAAAAAAAATTTTGATCATACTGCCCCTTTAAGTAAAAAGTACAAAGTATCCTTAAAAAATACTTGAAGTACAAAGTAAAAGTACTATTGTCTATAGCGTGCAGGGGGGATGGGGGGACTTATCCATTGATGGATTGAGATACAAAAAACACAAAACAGCACACACATTATACATATACAATATTTCACGGCATGGCCTACTTTCCAGATCCCGTTGAAGAAATAAGAAATCCATGAAATAAATAATGGTTTAAATAAGCCACAAACGAGAGATCCCAAACGCATGTAGAGGTCGTATTACCTATCCCCAAATTAAAATATATCAGGAATAAATTACGTAAAATTAAACAAATGTTTATAGAAAGTAACGAAATACTTCCCCGCAAAATGAAAATAAAACGAAGTAAAACTTTGTTACATGCTCACTTCTTAAAAATAGTACTCAAGTACAGTAACGAAGTACATTTACTTCGTTACTTGACACCACTGCCCTGGGTCTTATTGGAGAATGTATATTGTACGTTATATGTTTATATTTTTAGCTCAATGTTGAAGAGCGGGTGATATATATGCATGCACACCGGAGTTAAATTATCTCCCTGAAATTAACAGGGCACTGCTTTCCAATAATACCCAGGGTGGGCTAGCTTCCTGTGCAAATAGCTGTCGCAATATGAGTTCAGTATCTTACCGTTACGTAACAATTCACGACATAGCGGGCTAGCTCACTTCGCCGGGTCAAATTGTTATTTGTTTCATATGAGGCGAGCTAGCCTGGCAAGCGCGATAGAAAATCTCGCGCTCAACATTTGTTTTTATTTTGCAAAATGCTATTTTTATTGACCGTTACTGCTTCAGAAGCCGGTTTTTAATTTAATTAGTATAATTGATTTCTTACTTGTTTTCAAAATGTTATATGCAGGTATGTGTTGTGAAACAATTTCCAGCCCGGTTTGTTTGGCTGGCCGGGAGCGCGGGAAGGCGAGAGCTCGCCTTGCTCGAACGTGGGGGGCCCAGATCATGTGAATGAAATCTCGAAAACAGTATACGAGGCACTTGCGAGTCAGCTCGGTTTACGGGCCAGGCCGGCTCTTATGAACGTGCCTGGTTAAAGGGGCCCTACAGTAATTTTTTCAGTAATTTTTAAGGTGACCTTTTGACTAAAAAATACTTAAAAGTATTGTTTACATTTTTTGTTATTGTCGCTACTTGACATGCGCACCATGGCATGCATCCGTCTTCCGGTATGCGGAAGTACTCATACTCATGGATACTGCATGTAAGATACAGCCAAACGAATCTCCGTGGAGTCCCCTACCTAAGGTGGCTTTTCGAATAAAAAATTACTGTAGGGCCCCTTTAACCGGGATGATTCGTTTAATTAATAAAGCTCTTGTCATGCATGCACGGCTTTGTTTGGGATAAACATCCAAAATGACATTTCAAAGTTTAATTATAAGTTGAATTTATTAGCTTTGTTTGATTCGAGTAACAACAGTTCATTCAAACGGACTTTATGCAATTATGGTCATGCATGCATGCAGGAAAATATTTTCGTGACACGATTGACGATTCATCCCGGCTAGCCGGGCTGGCCTGGTTCATATAAACATAAGTCGTGTTTACACTACAAGCCTTGGCCTAGCCTTGGCCTTGGCCAGACCAAGGTAAATGTGGCGCGTTTACACCATTCAGACACTGTTTTTTTGAGACTGGCTCACTTTGGCCTAGAATTTTGTAATAGGCAACTTGCATGTTAGACTAATTTTTGATTTAGGCCGAAAATGGTAACAATTTCCGCACGTAATACAAATATACTGAAAATATGCAAACTTCGCAAGGCTATATTTTCTGTATTTTACAACATTTTGTAACCAAATTTTGCAGTTTTACTAATTTCATTATGTTCTTTTAAATGTTATGTTTAATTCCCTTCTCTTTACTTACATTAAAATTTAGTCTAACTCATGCAAGTGGTCAATTAATTTTGTGTATTTTTATAGCAGCTGGGAAATTTGTTGTCGCTGTGCAGAGAAATTGCTGGCGCACGCGATATTTTACAAAAATTCGAAAATTTGAAAAAACAACACGAGTGAAATTTCAACTTATGATTTTGCATTTTTAAGACGGCGATCAAGGAAATTAAATTGTTGGAAAAACTTCACTAACATCTCAAGTATGGAAAGCATCTATATTACCAGCAATTTAATTGTGGATTGATTCAAAATTCAGGCGATAAAGTTACATAGCTAGGAGTTGGCTTTTGTGCTCTTCGAATATCCATTTTGATTCGCGGATTACCACAACTTGTTGGTCTCATGGGTGGCAAAATCGACATAAACGTAAACCGGTAACCAAAAGCTATAAAACAAATAGCTTTTCAAAACGATAAACTTTATTCAGTCAAAAGGATGAGGGTAAATAAACCTACTACTGCGTGATGGTGATTTTGAAGCAACTTTGTCACATATATTTTAAAAAGTGGGATAATGAATCAAATTTTGCTTTTTTCAATCCCAAAAAGGTATGAAAATTATTTAAATATTTAAGGTTTCCGTGTTTATAAGGTATTTTTTGAGAAAAGTAAACATTTTTCCGATAAAAAAGCATAGTTTCTGCAGAAAACTGTTTTCTGACATAGAATATCCTGGGAGAGGGGGTGTAGAAGCGTGGGCGGATAGCAAAAAACTTTGACGATTTCACCAAAAATTTAATACCAAATTTTGTTTTGCCTTAGTTTGATATGTAATTTAAACAAGTTTTTTTACATCTAAAAATTGCCCCTCATGATCAAAACTTGGATTATGTTCGCAGTATTGTCTATTTGTTTACTTCTGGAGATCAAAGTTTGAGGTTCAATTATTTTTAAAGTTTGCAAACTACCCAGCTAATTCTTGGCTGTTGTTTGCAGCCTTGTATGCTGATTAAAATTTAGTTTAGTCCACAATAGTAGATCCTTTCAATGAAAGGAAATTAAAAATAGTATATTTGATTACTTTTACAGCACAGTTAGTAGATAGGTAGGGTGCAATACCAGGCCAAATTGCAAAAAAATTTACCGAAATCTCCAAATTTAAAATCATATTTTTTTGCTCCCAAGGCACATAGGAAACATAATTTAACAATGAATTCTGTTGAAAAATGCCCCTTTGCGTCTAATTTCGCTTTGAAATGCGTGCGTTTACTCAGTCTTGTATGAGAAAACATTCGAACTACTGTAAAATGTAATGAAATCGACAACTTGACCTTGCCCTTGAGACCTTGTACTGCCTCAGCACTGAAATGTTTTTTGACAACGATAATTTAACAGTGTTTCTTGGATATTTTCCTTGTTTAGCTAGTAGAACCGAACATACAAGTGCATTAGAAGACTAAGCGAGAGTTTTGTATAGAAATGCTCTTTTTACGGGAAGTTATTTTGCATTCGCAAGCGTCAACAAAAGCCGGATTTTCACAGTTTGATTATCATGTCGATAGATAAAAGCTTTGAAAATTCAATTGAAAACATTTTAAACCACCTGTATTTCTATAGAATATATGTGAGTGGTATTAACATTGAACTTCTTTCTGTTTGAACCCAAATTCGTACTTGTTTTGCGTTTTACAAGGCTGTCAAGCTCGCGACGATTGGCAGGCATGACTGCAGATTTAGCGTGTCAAATGTCTTCTTGTTTGTGTCAAGTTTATAATATTCTATTGCTGTTCAAACACAAACGAGATATTCTATACACTGGAAACGTAGAGTACATTTTACTTTGTCTCGAGCAAAAAATTATAAAGATTAAACAGGCATTCAAAAATATACAACAACCACGAACATCTCGTTATTTCTTCGGGGAAATCTTCAAGTTTCAATGGAAATCTGGCGCATGCGCAACAAATTTCCCAGCTGCTCCTAAATAGGCGTAAATACTATAAAAGTAGTTCATTTTCTATGGCGCTATAATGGTCCACGGGCAGGATCGGAGTTTCTGGTTATGTTGGTTGCAATCACTGACATATATTATTCAATGTTTATATTGTTAGCGTTGTTGCCGTTGTTAATGATTGAAAATAATCTTTTTGTTGTGATGGTTGTTCGAGTTGGGAAAATATCGATATCGGTATCGATATCGAAAAAAATCGGCAAATATCGAGGAAATATCGTATCGAATGAAAAAGCTGGTATCGCCCATCCCTAGCTTCATCGTAATAAAGGCATAATAAAGGAACACCGCGGAAAAACGTCTGCGCATGCGTCAACCTTACCTGTAATAGTATTGCGAACTTGATGAGAAGCTTTTCCGAACGTTTCCGAAGGCTCAAAATGGCGGTAAAAAGGAGTGACTTCATTGTGCGTCTTTACAGCCAGATTTCGAGCGCAAAAATAAACATGTCATTCTAAAACTAGGAATAAATACA